GCCACGCTCACGCCCCAACACGCCCACGCCGCGCCGACACTGCACCACACGACGCTACGCTCGCGCCAAACTTGAACACGAACTCGAATGCCGAATGATGAGGCGCATCCAGAAGTCGACTTTTAATAGCTGTCGACGGGTGCATATTGTTGGGTTGCAGGCGCACAATACATCGATCGTAGACAATCAGCAGGTGTGGGACAATCATCAGATACAGACAGATTGCACAGATTGCAAAAACATCGATCCGAAACAACCAGAGAGCATCGAAAAAACATCACTTAGGCAGAAATATAACAAGTGGCAGACGCATAATACATCGCACACAGATGGTCGTGAAAAGAGCGAGGGGGTAGGATATTACTCTGGCGCTGGTTCATTTAACCTTCACTTCACTGGGCCGGGACGGATCAGAAATACCTCCGCTGCAGGCACCCATAACCACAGCTGCTGATTCAGGCTTTTCCACCAGCAGCAGAGGGACACTATACCAGCGCTGGTACACGTTTCTATCAGCACAGGTAGAACAGAATTGGTGGTTTATCCCACAGTTAGGCACAAAAAACCACCAGAATCCCCAAAAAACCACCTGCGTGTTTAACAGTGCATACAAGCGGAGCACAAAGAGAATTTCTGAAGGTTACACGAACACTAAACAATTATACCCGGGTAAAACAGAACGTGACGTCACAGCTCACACACACACATACATACATTGCACTAGTGTCACATCAAACACCCATTTCTTTCCAAGTCCAAGGAGGAGCCGGGCTCAACGCGACCGGCGCGGGCGAGGCGAGCTCGACGACCGAGTCCACGAACACAGACATCTTCCTGACGGTGGCGGCAGGGTGGAAGGCAGAATTTAGTTTAAACAGCGCATGGCGTCGCCGGGGTTAATCAGCGCAAATCCACTCCTCGTGGTGTTCAGGGCGGACCACATCATCGGACCGCGGGAGCGAGCAGAATATCCGCGCGCACTCACGGCTGGCAGCAGAGTGACGCCCGTTCAAGGTCAACAGCTGTTCGAGACCAACTCTTCTTCTTCACTCTTGCCTTCGATCCACCTCTAGGCAGGAGAGCCACGCGAAAGGGGGGGAGAGAAAAGGGCGGCGCACGAAGGGTTGCCTAAGTCTGCGGGGTTCGGCACGGGTACCGTGACAACTTCTACCGACTCTTATCGACTTACCGATTCTTACCAATTCTTACCGACTCTTACCGACTGACCTATTCTTACCGACTCTTATCGGCTCTTACCGACTCTTTCCGACTCTTACTGACTCATCGACCTAGCGACTCTTACCGATTCTTACCGACTCTTACCTACACTTACCGACTTACTGACTCTTACCAATTTTACCGATTCTTACCGACTCTTTCCGATTCTTACCAACTCTCACCAATTCTTACCGACTTTTACCGACTTTGACTGACAAACCGATTCTTACCGACTCTTACCGAGTTACCGACTCTTATGGACTCTTACCGATTCTTACGGACTCTTATTGACTTTCACCGACTCCTTGACTCCCGATTTTCTTTAGTTAAATTCACCTATTTAAAAAAAATGCAAAGGAGCTGCAGCCCCCTTGACCCCCGCCCCTTTTAGTTAACTTCAGTCTTTTTTTAAAATGTAAGGGGGCCGCCGCCCCCTTGACCCTCGCTTTTCTTTAGTTAAATTCAGTTTCTTCTTTAGAATGCAAGGGGGCTGCCGCCCCCTTGACCCCCTCTTTTCTTTAGTTAAATTCAGTTTCTCCTTGACCCTCGCTTTTCGCTAGCTAAAGGAAGTCAATAATTGTGACGAACGGACATCCTCAAGAGGTCTCACTGAGTTGCGCTTCGCGTCGCGAACTCGCTGTCTCGCAAGCTTGACAGCTCGTTCGCTCGCTCCGCGAATAAATGAGCTAAAGATTAAGGGTTAAAAGATGCTTCACATTTGAATGTAAAATCCGATAAAAAAAATTAAGACACTGCAGAGCAGGAGCGTTCGCGCACATATATGTGCGCTTAATATATAATTGAAAAGAGGAGGTAATGAAATCATTATTATGCTCACAGTATTTGAAGCTACCATGTCACGAATGGCTTCATCTGATACTGAGGCTGCTGGAGATGGTTTGGGTGTTTGGTGAGGAGTACTCCAAGCATTTTGCACCTTTTCTCGGGCCATCTGTCGAGGAGTCTGAAGACAAAACACAGATTAGATTAGATTAGATTAGATTAGATTAGATTAGATTAGATTAATGTTTCATCTGCTAAATAACTAACTCACCATGTGTTCTGCAGAGGATCTGGGGGCTGCTAATAGAGTTGCTGTTGGGGTGGCAGATGGAGTCAAAGCAGCTGGTGTTCGGGGTGCAGGTCTTTGATGTGCTGGAGTCTGAGGTGCTGGAGTCTGAGGAGCTGGAGTCTGAGGAGCTGGAGCCTGACGTACTGGAGTCCGCCGTGTTGGGGTCTGGACTGTTGTGGTCGTGGCGTTTGGAGGAACTGGAAATGAAAAAAAAATCTAACCAGCTTTGAGAAATCCAGTAAATTGTAATAAAACAATATTGTACATAATGTACTGCATGAATTGAAATTTTAATACAAATAATGATAGCTACTATGAATATAAATTGCTGTAGCATCATGCAAACCAAAGCCAAAAACATAAACCAATTGTTTTTGTTAAAATCATGCAGGGTCAAAAAATGTAAATGAAAGGAAAAACTTATCTAAACATAGATGTCCCATACAGAGAACATGACCATGATAATCCAGTACCATAGAGTCCATGATTCAATCAGAAGCTGGAATAGAACACATTATATTATGATAAGGAAATAAAAAGTAGATCAACATGCACTCACTAACTATGCAGAGGTGCCCTTGAGGATCCATGGAGGAGGAGGTGACAAACCAGGTACAAAATATAAAACAGTCCCTTCTTGCTGTGATCACATATGAACAATCTTCTAACTAGCAACACCTAACACAGAGACACCATTTTATAAACCCAGCATAAACCTGTAATGGTGCCAAGAAGAATTAGTTGGTCTTTAGGATCTAATGTGACTTCCTCCTTAAAGTCATGGAGACCGACAGCATTCTTTGAGGAGAGGGCCTGCCTGGTTCTTCTTGACACCTTTGCTCTTAGCTCTGTATTACAGTCCCTGCACTTCTGCTTGATCAGGGACTGTGCTACTTTGTCAACAATAAAATTCAAAAACTCTTGTGAATTTTTGTGAGAATCACAAAGTAAATCCCACTGGACAGTTGTTTTGAGATGCAGCCCAACATCAACAGACACATTCTGATTGAATAAAATTTGCTTCCACTGTCTCTCAAAGGCATTTTGGCAAATAATGAAATTAGAAATTAACCTGTCTGAGGGAAACTGATCAGATCTTTTAGAACAGGATAATAGATTAGAGCAATGAGTACAATTAATTTTAAGCAAGACTTCAGGCAACATTTCCTTCCAGAGCTCTGTGGGATTAAGCCTCACAAGAGGATTACTCTCTTGAACCTTTGGACGGCGCCCAAAGTTATCTGGGGTATCCCCACGATGAAGAGACTGCTGGGCTGGTGGAGCTGCTGCTGGTTCTTCATCAGTTAATAAATATTCACTTAAGTCAGACGCCAAGTGTGATTCGTCATCTTGACAATTCTTGCTGTCAGCACCAACATGCCGAGAAAACCTACTGATGAGGCAGGTTTTCATGGCAGCAGTGAATTGAACAATAGTCAGATCAGAACTGCTACCTCCACACTGGCGAATGAGACAAAAAAAGTTCTCCAGAGCGTCCTGATTTAAGTTTCGTAATTTTAAAACTTTTGCACTGTCTTTTACTGAACACCACAAAACTTTAAAAGACTGAATGTTTTCAATCCATCCCCGCACACAAGGGGGAATGTGTCGAACACCATCTTTCTTTCGGATAAAGGTCCAGGTCTTGAGCTTAGAAAGCATGGTGCTCCACATTTCCTCCTTGATGTGGGGTGAATTAGCTGTGACATTCACTCTGAACTGCTTCTTCTTTTCTTTTGAGTCCTCATTTTGCTTTGGCCCATTGCAAAGATCAAAGAAGGTATCGATGTCATCACATAGCTCGGCAAATGGTAAGCAGTGAGAGAATTTCTGCCCCTCACTTATGGAGACAATGGCCTTGATGAATTTGGAGACAGATGAACTAAAAACTTGGGCAGCATAGGACACCCGCATCTTATCACGACCCTGGGGATTGACATGCCGCATTGTGAGAGAACTTAATTTAATTCTTGACTGAAAAGAAAGGGTACAAGTATTACCATGTTAAAATGCACAGTCTAGAGATTCACTACCATAAGATGGGCTGTACCTGATCATAGAGATAGAATTCAATAAGTTGACGCCATTTGGCCACTTTACCCTGATTGAATTCTAAATCACTGGTGATGAGATTGTTACGAATATTCTTTAAGATATGGGGCATGTCCCAAATATGGACAAGAGTCTGTCCACCAACAGAATACATGATGGAGTCACCTTGTTTCTGACGCAGCTCAGCTATGGCTGTCCTGTTGGTTGGGCCCTGATCTGACACTGTAGCTTTGACAGTGAGTCCAATCTCAAAGAGTGCCTTGATTACATCTTCAATTAAAAGCTTCAGCATAGAGGAAGGGCACGTCTTACTCACAAAATAGTAAGCAACGGGTTGGGTCCACTTTACATGCAGGCCTTGTACCATAAACACCATAGCATGGTCTGCAATATAGTTGGTCCTTCCCCGTTGCCCATAATTTTCAAAGCCGTTTACAACATTCTGACGAATGTTGTAAAACAATCTACCACGTAAAAACACCTCATCAAAAAGAAGTACACACTGGCGATCTCGCGCATTTAAACACTGTACTTTTTTTTTTAGCAAAGCCAGAAATGGTTGGCAAATTCCAGGTTGAAGATTCACCTTGCCCAAAAGTTTCTTCAGAGAAGCTTCACTTGGAATTGTCATGTATTTT